CAGAGAAACTTTACAACCAAAGGAGCTGACTGAAGGGAAAAAAAGAAGAAAAGAAATCCCAGTCTGATTAGTTCCGTTTTCAATAATATTTAGTAAGGAGATTGTTGAAATAAAAACACAACTATAATATCCATCAACTCTTTGCATATTCCAAATATGTTTACAGGAAAGACTAAATATTATCTTTTAAAATCAGCATGATAGTAAAAAGTTATTGCACTTGTGATGCTCTCAGGATGTAGGAGGGAGATGGTTTAGAAGATATTATATCTTTTATTAGGTCAACTGGTATAACTGAAAAAAAAAAGAGGAGCATATAAGATCTGCTTGGTTTTTTCCTACCTGTATCAGTCTTGTCTGATAAAAGGTATTGTTTCATTCTTCAGATACTGCTTCTTTTAGATATCTCCATGCAAAATCTTGCTAAAATACCATTTGCATCTTGCTAAGGTATTATTTGCCTCTCATATCCCTTAGTCTCTTCCATTACATTCAGCTAACCCTAGATCTGTTAGTTTTCTTTCAGAGCCTAGTCCTTCCTTATGCACCTGGATTTTTGCCATCTGCATGGGTGGCCATGGACAGCTCTGCCACTCCCTTTCTGCTGCTGATGCCTAATCTTGCTTTTCTCATGATCAGCTTTCTCTTAATTTTCCCCAGTGTCAGCCTCAACAACAACAACAACAACAAAAAAATCCCATTTCTGTTGGTGGTGCTGACTTTGTGTTTTGGCTGTAATCTGAAGGTGGAAGGCACATCAGGAGCAGGGTGAAATGTCCTTTTGGTTATCTATAATTGTGCTCCAATTGCACATTGAACTACTACTGTGGGCTTGCTGTCCCCCGTAGGGGCACTTGTAAGGGCACTGGCTCCTGCCGAATCTGTGTCTGGGAGATGCCTGTGTAGTGGTGTGGTCCATACTTAATCTGTCTGATGGTGAGTCCTACCTGCCAGCAAGGAAGGAGTAATTGCAAGTGTGACTTAAAATATGTGGCTGTGCATCCTCTGCATCCTTCAAAAGGAGACAATATCTGCATTTTGGTATGCTACATTAACCAGCCTTTTGAAATCCCATCTTATGGCTTTGAGTTGCTCTTTTTGCAATGTAGGCATAGTCTGTTCAGCTCTTAGATGTGGTCAGTCATTAAATAAGATAGAGTTTTTCAGCTAATTAAAAAAAAAAATCTAGCAGGAGAATGGAGTGTAGACTTCTGCAGGATGTGCAATTAACCTTAAGTGAGTGAGGAAGGGAAACATCAAATTAACAAAGCATCTGCCATAATTCTGTTACCATGCTTGGCTTTCCTCTCCATGTTAATCGGACAGACTGTTACATGATTTGAGAAGTTTAGCTGATTTGCTGTATCAGCAGAAAGCAGAATCTCACTGAGGAGATCACACAGTGTTTCCAAAAGCGTCTGAAGGAGGAATTTATAGCTTGTGCATTACAAAAGCAGCCCTAATTAGTCCCGAGAGGCAGTTGCATGAGAAAAACTGAAAAGACTGCCTCGTCATATTTGCTGCCTTCTTGTGATTTTTGTAGAAGATTCTGACAATTAATGTTTACTAACAACTGGGGCTCAGAAACTCGGTGGCTAATAACAGTCCTGAATAAACAGCATTCTGTATTTGCAGTCCCACAAAGATAGGTTGGATACCGGTGTTTCTGCCATGTGTCAATATTGCCACAGGAGCACAGAGGTTTCAGCTGGAAGATTCTGTAGCCACCTGGGAAATGCCTGAAGGAAAAGAAATAAAATATCCTGATAGTCTAGCAGTAGCCAAATCACTTGACAATGTCTCATTCTTCATTAGGTTTTTTTTTTTTTTGGTTTTTTTTTGTTTTTTTTTTTGAGGTGTAGGTTTTGTTTTAATCTCTGGAGGTATGAATTCTTCTTGGTGCTTTTCTAATGCGGTATGTTCCTACATTATGGTAATCAAAGAAGTTTTGCTATGGTATCAGTGATTGCATGGGGTGTGGAGCAGGGATATGGGTGAAGGCAAACCATTACTCTTGAATGCTTTTAGGTCTTACCATTCCTTACCATTCCCTGCCACATTCTCAGATTATGAAATGATGCAAACTAGCTGCATACAAAAATCTAAGGAGCCTGAATTTAGAAATTCCCTTGTGTGGGATCAGTTGTATAGTGATTATAGGGTGAGGCCCATTGAGAAATGTCAGTCTGAGAGCTCCCTAATCTGTGACAAAGTTGTGAGTTTCATAATTTATGAATTATGAGTTATGAGTCTAGTAACAGTTTTCTTGCTATTTGCTTTGAAAGCAAATGTGAACTCATGCAGTGGCTACCTTAGGCTTTGCAGACCTGAATGTCTTGATTTACCAGTCATTAGGAACACTTTTATTTGCTATTTACCTAAAATCCCTCAAGTCAATATGCATAACTCAGTGGCACTGTGAATCAATAGGTTTGACATTAAATGAGATATAAGAAGTTATCTTCTTAATCCCGTAATTTACAGTTGCCATCAAAATATTGATATTTTTAATTTCTTATATTGGGGCAGAAGTTTTTTGAGAGTAGTTTTTCTGAAGTAAATATTTTCAAATGTGAAAACCCACAGTTAGGCATTGTGTATAAATACTCAATTTTTCACTAGCAATGAAGAAAACAAAGTGACTATGGAAATCAATGGGGATTGCTGGAAGTTCTGTATTTTTTTTTTAATTGGGTTGTTTATTTGGTTACTTTTATATGGATTTATGTGCTTGTCATTAAACTCCCAAGTACAAAACTCTTGGCCTCAGGTAGTTTGTGATTTCTCTTCTATTTATCTTGATTAGTGGAAGATTGCAAATCCCTTACAGGAAAGTGAAGAAAATGTTAATTCTCTTCACTAGTGAAAAAGAAATATTTGAATTAACACTGATGATTAAAGAGTTTTATTAGTTTTAAAGGTGAAACAGTACGTCAGAGGTTCAGGGGAGAAAAGTAGGGGCATGGTAGGAAGAGAAATCTGGAAACTGTAAAATGAGATTAACAAGAGTATTTCTCATGTAAGGTTTATGTTTGATCATGAATTAAAGGCTCTGGAACCAAGTGAATGTGCTTCTTTTTTTTTTGTTTGTTTTAATTTTTTTTTATTTTTAGTTAGTTTTATTTTTAACTTTAAATTCAATGGCAGGATTCCTGATCAGCATTCAGGCGTAGTACTTAACAAGATGAATTGGGTTTTCTGAAAAGATGTATGCAGGACTACAATACTCCCTGTTTCGCAGTCATGGTCTTTGTTATGTATAAAGTGGTCTCTGATTGACTGAAACACAGAACACCTGAGATCACATTCCTAAGGTGTGCTGAATGCTGTTGAAGCTCATTGACTCCTTTAATCAGCACCTCATGCAAACACACTTCAAAAGATCAAAAAGCTGCAGGTAAGTAACAATTAATTGAAAAATTTGCACTCTGCTGCACCAATAGATTTATTTGATAGGATGATTGTCTATGCTGTACATTTTTTTAAATACAAATAACAGAGTATTAGTACAATATCTTTGCTCTTACTCTAATAGAGGGTAAGTGGTGCTTTTGCAATGGTATTTGTTCATTAAATACTCAGGAAAGGTGATCCATTTTGCCACTGCATGATGTTTTAACAATATGTAGTCCTCAGGCATTAATTCTGCAGTTTATGTGCTAAAAAGCATATTTTCTAGGCCATTAAATAAAATACGTAAAACATTGAATGGCTTTGAATGTCTGATTAAAAGCCATTCAGCCCCATATTCCACTGACAGTGAAATGTCATCCTAACATCCCTTTATTGCATTAAAACATGACTGCTCAGGGTCTGCATGTGCTGTGCTGAGAGAATTGCTGCAGGACCTGTTTGATCACCGGAGCAAGAGAGAAAGGACCATATAAAATCTTCATCTATGTCTGATCCCTGAAATCATATTGGCTAATTGATGAGGTCAGCAGTATGTATAGGCTCTAGTAAGAGACAATTATATTAGGAGTTATGGAATGACCCTTCAGGTAGACCCTGTGATTTTGGTGTACTTGCTTCTGCCAACAGGCTGCCCAACTGGCACTTGTCAGGTGATGACCTTGCAAAAGATGAAACAAAAAAGCAATGCTGGTAGGAAAAGAAAAAAAATTGTTAAGAGAGATTGTTAGAACCCTAGATGTCAAGAATTTTAGACTTCCTGAGTTTAAAGGCACAGACCCTCAAGAGAACACTCCTTTTGACCTGAAGTGGTAGAGAAGGCTTCCAAAATTGATTTATAGCACTAGGATTATAGGTATGTAGTTTGAATAGAAGTGTGTAATATCCCATGCTAGAGAATTTAGAGTTCAATGTTTTAGAATATAGGAGCATATATAAAACAAGATAAAAATTTTAGAGCAGTAGCTATTCCTTCTTCACCTTCTTCTTCAGAGGCTTAGGTGGTATTGTATAATTAGACAGAAAAGTCTGCATTGTGGGACACAGGTGATTAGTTATTAAGTTAAAAGTAAAAATAGCTTAAGTGTCATTTCTTAATTAGATAGTTTTTCCTTAAAAGAGTTTATAGATATAGATACAGAGCCATTTTGTAGCTTGTTAGTGAAATACTGTAGAACTCATGTCTTGTAAGACTGTAATATAAATAAGAACTAATAAACATCTGAGTCTAAATACAAAATACCATCTTTGTGCATTTAATGCCGACCCTGACCAAAGCAAAAAAAGAAGATAAAAATCGACAAGAGATGATATTTTGAAGTGCCTTGAGTGCTCCACAGTAGGATTTAAAGGACTCTCTGGTCTTTCCTGCCTCTTAGCAAATAAGTAATTGCTGAAAGTCAGTCAAATGATGAATTGAGACAATGGTTATCTACAAAAGGCTTATTTACTGTATCTTTTATCTTTGAGGCTGTGATCTTTCTGAGAGGATCTGCAGATGGCTGCCATTTACTAGACAGATGAACTCATTTACAGGAAAAGGAGAGGCAGAGACTCACAGACTGACATTTCTACTGTGTGGTTTGAAGCTACAGTGTAAAGCCTGGGGTCTCTGCTGTCCTTGGGATTCTCATCTGTAAAGGTGAGTAAATGGATCTAGAGGAAAAACGACTGCAAAGGATAGATAAGGACTATGTTCCATTTCTATGCAGAGATGAAAAGAGGATGAATGCCAGAGGAGTGCTGACATGCCATGTCATGACAGTCACTTATGAAGGTGAGATTAATTGGCAGCAGACCAACTTTGAAGGGATCTTGATGGCTGGGTATGAATCAGGAGCATGTGGGTGGCAGTCTGTGGGTGTCTGTTGGCAGCTCTGGGCTGCATGCAGATTCTGTGGAGCACAGCTGAGTGCAAAACAAGCCTTTCTCAGGTAAAGATGGAGAAAGGACATTCAGAGAGAACAGTGAGGGGAGGTGGGCAACCTAAGGAAAGGGTAGGAAAAAGATGAGGAGCAGGTGCTGAAGAAGGGTTGAGAAGAGAGGTAGGAGCAGTGCTAACTTAATATGCAAGCAGTCTATAGCCTTCAAAATGAGAGCTAGGCAAGAGATTTATAATAATTTAATTGAGGGAATGACAATGATTATCCAGAAGACCTGGCAGGTACCAATTAGACTGAATTGAGAGAGGGGGGAATGTTTATGATAAAGAACAGCAGCCAAATGCTTCCTAAATTTAAGGGAGATGCACAAGATCAAAAATGTTTGCAGTGACTTATCTGAATCATTAGTAATGTTCTGCCAGGTCATTTCTGCACTGTCCAGAACTCTTGAATCCTTTACTTGTTTCTCCATTCAGTCTTTTCCTTTTCATTTATTAGCAGCTTTTGGCCTAATAGTGCAGTTTTTATTCAAGTAGATTTCCCTTTCAGTCTCAAATTAGTGATAGTTTTGCCTAAGTAATGGCTGAAGTATTTGATTCTTCAAGCTATTATTTCAGTATTGTAAAGCCATTATTCATCAGTAGTCAATTTGTGTGTACCTGATGTGCTCTATCTGAATTAAAAAAAGAACAGCGCAAGAAACTGTAAGACAAAGTTTGGAGTACTGTCCATGAGCAGTTCTAAGAATAATTTTTCCTGATGAATAAAGTAGAATTAATTTTAAATTAATTTCTAATGTTTATAAAAACTGTAATGTCAGTCAAGGGAGTTGTGCTTAATGGAGCACAAATGGGTTTGTTTTGGTTTTTTTTAATAGTTTCACAGTGAAAGAAAATTCAAAAAGAAGTACTTCAGATTCTGAACAGGTATATTGAAACTTTTTCTATTATAAAAGGTACAAATGATGAAGACAGCTGAAGTGACTTGGTGGGTTTCTACAAAAATCTGAACATTTTTGAACTCTTTATCATTGTGATGCGAAGGAAGTTTTCCTTTGCTTTGCTCTGCTCTTGGATGTCTACATTTCTGCTGCCCTTAGCATGTGAAGTTCTCCTCATGGCTGTGTCCTTTGCTGAACTTTTCAACTGTGCCACTGGCATCAAAATACATTTTACATTTTCCTCTGACTCTGCCAGCAAATATCCTTCTATGGTCACCTGATATCAAGGAGATGAGTATCTCTCCATGGGTTGTATAGTTCATTGCAGAGTCTCTCTAATTTAGATTGCATTTTTACTTTTATCTTCTTTATTTTATGATTACTTTGTTTTTGTTTTTTTTTTCCTTCACATTTCCCCAACTTTTTTTTTGTAGCTGTGTTCACTTATCTTAAACCTGCATTAACTTTTCTCTACCTTATCTGTACTTGTTTTAGAAATTAAAAAAAGCCGGGTGATGTTACCTGTGCTTTGTGATTGGCAAGTGCTTTCTTTTGAAAAACAATTGAAGACTATTTTTTACTTTAGATTAGTATGTTCTTGAAGAGAAGTGAATCTGCATTCTGGCTCAGAAGCTCGTTTCTAGGAGCAGAGGCTTTGTTTACTCACTTATTTATTTTCATTGTTTGGTACCATCTGGAGATGTCTTATTTTGTGGGAAAAGAAAAATGAATCAAACTTTGCAATGACAGAGGACCCCAGGAACTTCGATTACTATCCAAAATATTTTGAGAGCTAATAAAAGCAGACAACATGCCATTTCTTGATGATCTCTCTCCTCTTCACACATTCTTTCAGAGCTAATCCAGTCCTCTGAGAGAGGGTTCTTGTGTTTGATAAAAGGAGTCCTTCATTGTCACAAGCCTTAGCATACTGCTCTGGCACACGTGCCCCTGAAACACATTTCATGCCTCATCTGTTACCTAAATGAGATGTGAAAGCATTTCACACCTCGTTTACATTTGCGCAGTTTTACGGAACAGCATCTATGCAATTCCACTGAAAGCAACGAAATGAGGTCACCAACCCCCTTCTCCCTCCTTGTATTGCATCCACACGGCCTGATCCTTTCAGTTCACTAAACTGGACATTAATCTATTTTTCTGAAGAAAGTTACTGCAAAAAGCCAGCATCCTCCAGCGTGTGGCAGTCATTGGCATTTTACAGAGATGTAAGCTGTCCACGCTGAAAATAAAAATATAAGCTATGCATTTACATGAGATATCTGAACCCAGAGTGATTTCTCCTGCACTGAGCAGAATATAATCAAGGTGAATAAACAGGAAAATTGACTAAACTGATATGGGAATAACACTACAAAAAAGGCAGTAAGAAATCCATACACCTCTGCTATGCCCTCCTTGGCTGAGTTGCAGCAGAAAACTGCCAGGAGTGTGTCCAAGGTGTTGAGGCCAGCTGAAAGTCAGGGCAGATGCACGGCTCTGAAAATCCTAGGTATCCAGATCAATTTCTGGAGAACTGCAGGGATTTTAACTCCAATGTCTGGGTCCTTGCTGCCTTTTATGTTGCACCAGCAGAGACAAGTACAAATTTCTTCCCTTTTAAAAAGAAAACAATTTTCTTCCTTTTTAAAAAGGAAAACACATTTTTTAATTTTTAAAAAGAAATTGTTATTTTTCAAAAGTTTTGTAAACAACTGTGTAACAGAGGACAGTGAAGGTCCAAGAATGTAGTGACACAAATTCAGCCACTTCTGTTCTTTCATCAGCTGAGCTCCCAGTGTTGAAAATAGTGGAAATAGAAAGCTTACAAGGTGTCATCTCTGGTTGTCACCTTGCTGTTTCAGAAGACACAAACTGAAAACACTAACTTTGTTTGTCAGGGAGTCCTTGTTTTTCTTCTAGTCCTCTATGTTTTTTATGTGACCAGGATGCTTTGGCTGGACTTCGCCTCATATAATTCTGAGAGTATGAAATAACCATTTCAATCTGAGCAGTCAGACTTCACTGCTGCTGTGAATGGAAAGAGACCACATCTCAATATCATGGCTATCTTCACAGGAGAAGAGGGAGCATGGTATAAAGCAGGATAAGAGGTGAGACCCTTTTACTTTCTGTGTCTGCTAAGGAAATCTAAGTTGCATGTGTTTGTACTTATGTTAGGTGAGATGAATCCCTCTCCTTTACCTTCTAATGTAAGGAAGACATTAGGATAAAGCAGAAAATTCTCATATTTTCCTGAGATGAGGCTATACACATGTTTTCAGTGTCCTGCACCAGAGATGCTAATGGTTCTCATTTCATTTGACATCTACAGGGGAAGAAGATCAGGGATGTCAGTGCATAAGCAAAGAAGCAAACAAACCAAAGCTATCTTGGCTTTCACCTTGTGTCAGCAGAAATATTATTGGCCAAGTGGAAAAAGATAAAATCTTTTGAGGAAGAAGTGCTATTTCCAAGCTTTATAAAAGGAATCACAAACATTAAGAATGAATGAACTGGGGAATACAAAATACTGGTTGTGTTTGCAAAAATAACGAGAGGCAATGTAGTGGGCACGATGGAAAAATGTGAAAATAATGTGCTGAAGTGTTTGTCTTACAAGGCTCTGGGGTTAAATCACTACATGAGCATGAAGATTTAATGATTTAGGTATCTTTTAATGGCTGTCTCTCTTTGGCTCAGTTCTGTCTTGTGCTGTGGCCCCTCAGGCACCACTGGAGGAGGTGCTTGGAGTGATTCACAGGATCCCTCTCTTTGTGTTCAGGTGTAATGAAACAGGGAAAATTGTTTGGTTTGCTCCGTTGTTCAAGCATGTACCTAGAAATAGTGTTGATGCCTCTCTCTCTCTCTGCTCAATCTTTTATGTTTTTCTGTTATTATGTGCCTGTTTTTTCTGCAGCTTTCAGGCAGGGCCAGTTCGTGAGGTGACTGTCCTAGGCTATGAGGCACTTACATACATGGATTAACACAGCTCAGAGCAGATTTGAAGCACCTTTCTCTTGTGTGGGCAAGTGTTTTGGCTGCTTCACTGGGGAGCAGTGCCATGCTGACTACATTACTACTGATAAAATACCCTCCCCTTATTTTGCAGCTTGTCTCACCATTCAGAAAAATCACAGTCCAGTGCTTTTTCTGGCCCCTGTAATGCTAAAAGTGTCAGGTGTATATTTTTCCCCCATTTTTGTTGTATTTTGCTTTGCTTTTACTTTGTTCTGGCTGCAACATGTTGGAGGATTTAAGCCATGATTCCACCCCCTCTTTTGCTCTGCAAGGAAACCTTCCTGAGAAATAGCCTGGGAACATGATGCTCCTTTAATTCATATCTGGAAACACTGAAAAGAAGCAGTATACTAATTGATGAGGAAAAATATCTCCAAGGCTAAAGTACTGTGTGTGGATGGACTGGAAATATTTACAGTGAACCCTGCCGGATCTGAGGAATTAGGTGCAGTGCCTACTTTTACAGTGAGAAATATGACCAACTTTAAAAGTACTAAGGAGAATTATTCACAAACTCCTGGAAATTCTGTATTTGAAGTTGTTTAAGGTCAACATAAATGGGGAAACACTTAAATGGGGAAAGTGACATTTTCCCTGGCTTGGCACCAAAGTCCTACTAGTGATCTAAATTGTAGAGCTAGATGTTATGAAAGAACTTCACTGAGCATATTCTTCAGGTTAGTGTAAAGGTCAGAAGTGAGCATCCTTGAAGGGTTCATGTTCATCTGTGGTTAAAAAGTTTCTTAGCTTTAGCTCTGCAGTTTCCATGGCTAATCTCAAATCTGCCAGACCTCTGCACCAGTTGCTTGCAAGTGTAGGAGAGTTTGCACAGGAACTCTCCATACTCTAAGCTTTTGAGCAATAAAAAGAATCAGACTTCAGATCTAGTAATATCTGCTGAAAAAAAATACATTAAGGCCTCTTGGAGCAGTCTTGGACCATCACAGCTCTATCACAGGCTAGGCTGATGTCACCACAAATGCTAAACTAGAAGCTTCTGTGGAGCAGAAGAGACGGGGAAAAAAGAATGGTAAGGGGAAAAATATGGAAGAGGATTTCTTCTAAGTGGATAACAAGATAAATTAAGAAGTGGAGATGTAAAAAAGTTTGAAAAAGGTAAGGGGAAGCTGTGTTGTTAAGGCCAAATAATTCTGATTTTGCCTAGCAAAGCACCACTTCTCTGTAATGATGAATTTTTTTGTGCAAACTTCAGCATTGGAAAGATATGTTGTTTCTCAAATGGCTAAAACTGTAGCAGGACCCTTATGTGACATACAGACTTGTGAAGAACGCTTACATCTGATGTGAAACAGAGGACTCCTGACCTCTGACTCACCTGGCTTGTATTCAGTTTCTCCTGCTTAGATTAGTCCTTTCAAAGAAACTGTTGGCTAGTTGATTTGGGAAGGGTTTCCTGTTGTTCTGAAAAATGTTAAAGGCGTATGGTAGTGCTGCTAGAAAATGCCACTTAGATTCCATTTATGTTCTCCCCTAACATGGGGGCAGAAGTTGTGCTACCCAGGAGGGACAGGGGAGAAGAAAGAAAACTTGTACATACATGGGTATTTACAAAATTTGGATAATTTTCCAACCTATTTGGAACTTCGTTATCTCACTCTAAGGGTTATGGAGTGAAAAGCTAATGAAAGTCAGGGGCCTGAAGAAATATTTTGTTTTTTTCCATCTGTCCATTTCTCAGCAACTGTGTCTTGTGTAGGCAGAACCCCAACTAAATTGTGAAATGTTGCATCCATTATCGCGGCATTTACTGTTTAGATGAACATCTTAAGCTGCCAGAATATTCAACAGTGGAGCCCTTAGTGAAAATATAGTGCGCTCTATCAAGAACTTGGCTGTTCTTACATGTCAAGTGTTTTTCAGAAAGACAGTGCTTTTTTTTTGTCTTTATTTAGAAGAGCATGGAAGTGTCAACAATTTATTCACGGTGTGAGACAAACAGATATTAATAGAATTTTAATGAAGGCCTTTCAACAGGATTTGAAATTTTTTTTACTGAGTGTTTTGTGTGTTCCTGTTAATACTAGGAGAGTGAAAAATGCAAGCGTCATAGGACAAGTATGGAAAAAACTTTCCAAAGACAGCAAAGGAGAAGAAAGTAAGGAGACAGTTTCAGCTGGACAGTACCAGAGGCTCTGCCATCACCAAATCCAAGACAATTATTCATTTCCTTACAAATTATCATGTAATGGAGTGAACAGATTTGGGAATACTTGAAATGCATCTTCACATATTACTCCAAGGTGGAAAGAGGTTTCTTGTTTTAGGTTCATCTTATGTCTCTCTTTAAAATGTTACTTCTCAGTTCTGTCATTTTATATGTGTATTTCAAAGCAGCTGCTACCTGCTAGTACTCCTTTAAAAGCCTATGTTCTTAAATACTCAGAAGCACAATTTCAGGCCTCCGGCTTGCCATCCTTACACTTCAGCGACCTTAATAATGCCTCTGCCTCCTGAAGTGATAAAGAGGGGGTGTACTTCTGTTGGGCCCTGCTCTCTGTAGTGAAATATTGAAACTTTCATTTTGTTAGTGAGAAAATCCTTACTATGAACTCTCTCATCTCTGACCCAGTATTTTGTTACTGTACTATAATATTTTTGCACTAATGCTAGTGCTAATACCAACTTTTTGTGGGGAGGGCAGGATGTATCTATGGAAGGCAGCTTTCCAAAGACTCAGTGTCCTTCTCTGACAAAAGACCCTTTCATTAGTGGACAAGAACATAAAGGTTGGCTGTCACCAAGTGCATGGTACCAGCCATCTGAATGCAATAAGGATGTTTGTGGCTTCTACTGTATTAGTCCATAGATCAGCTTTATAATTATCAATTTTAGTTTCAACATAGCACATTGCTGAAGGTCACAGCTTCAGATGCAATTTATTCCCAAATGAATACTAATAACTCTATCCCTTCCAAATCTTTCTGCCTTTATATTGTCAGAAACATTACTTACTCTTAACGTAGAGCATGGCTCAGTCACATTTCCTTGGCTCTCTGCAGTTAATTTAGACAGTTTGGTGGTTCTCACCCAGTCCTTTGCTTGAGGGGTGAGCACTTGCAAAGGTGTAAGATGCTGGGGGGTGATGTGGGTGGATGCTTATTCAGGATCCCAGAAAAAGAAACCAGATTGGCAGTAGTGATTTGGTGGGATGTCTAGGTACAGGACTAATTAACTTAAATCTTGGTGTGTATCAAAACAAAGACCTGTAACTGTAGACAATTTTTTCCTCAGTCCCAGGACAGATTTCTCACATGTGGCACTGCTGTTTACACTTGCTTTGTTAGACTTGAGCTTTCAGTATGGAGGCTACAGGGAATCAAAGCCTAGAAACCTTTCTCTTATATAAGAGCTTATATATTATAAACTTTATATTATAAACCTTTCTCTTATATAACCTCCTTTTAAAGGAGCTTAGTTACAGCTAAACAGTAATTATACTGAAAATAATTTACTTACCTCTTCAGGAAGCCAACTAAACTACTAGGTTTAATTCAGAAAAGGGTTTTACTGAAGTCAACAGAAAAAAAAATTAGGATCCCTCCCTCCAGCATCCAAGGGCCTCAGGGTATTAAGCAATCACTGCAAAATACCAAGGTGATGTCCTAAAGGGAAAAACCAACACAGGCAGCTCCAGTTTGGTTTGTTTTAACAGTTTTTGCTCTTAGGAGCAGCTTCCATTTCAGGTTTTTAAACTTTTATCTTGGAGGGCAGGGCAAGTTCACTGCTCACATCTAGCAGGAACTGATGCCAAAAGTAGAGTTCAGTTTGATTCCTGACACTGCACACAAGCAAAAGAAAAGAGGAAAAAAAGTATTCAACAGTTATGAGGGAGCCTGTGTTTGCAGAAACCTTTCTTCCCTCTCCTATTTTTATTACTTTCACTCTATACAATGGCAGCTTGTTTTGTCAAGATTTCAGCCTGTGAAAAAGCTGACTAGTTTTACAGTCTTTTATGCATGTTCACCTGCACCAGGACAACAGAAGCAACAATATATTTCAGCTGCATCTTGGGGGAAATGCATTGCAATCACAAGAGACACCAGACAGATCCCTTTCCCATTAGACTCTAAGA